TTCGTAGATGATTGTTGATAGTACTCACTCTATGACTACGATACTAATATAACCTAAATACGCCAATGAATTACGTCATATCTAACACATTTACCGTCACCAAAACAATATACGTAAATGGATTGGGAAGTCTGTTTTCCTTGTACTACACACGTCATATTGCCAAAGAGATTGCGCGGGCCGATTATACGCTAAGAAAATATGATACGTTCCAATTGTTTCAGTCAGTACCCTAAAACCTGCTTAGGCACTTATGAAGTAGGGCAACCACATTTCGTGGTTATTGAGGATTTTCTAAGTATTCGTCTTGCGGTTTGTATTGTGCTCATTTTAAAAGATAACGAAATTCGAGAATGTACGAGTTTGTGTCCTCTTATTTACTTTAGATTGATAAAATTGACTAATAAAATTTATAGATGATTAATCAATCTAGATTTTATGTAGGTAGTTGAGATCAGATAATTATTTGCAAATACGTCTTATCATTTTTACCCGGACACGGGCAGTGCGACCGGTCGTAATGGAAATCCTTGGGGGGAGGCCTTTGTCCAGCAGTGGACGTCATTTGGCTGAACGGAACGAACGTCTTATTATTATTGAATACCGTAAAAAAGATATAAAATGAGATAATTCGATAAAGATTTTTTTCGACAAAAATCCGCCAATTTTCAAACGCGTGGTCACCTGATGTTTCTGAAAAAGGTGCATTTTGTGTAATGCGATCACCGTAGCCGGATGTCGATATCTAAATAAAACCATTCGTTGTAAAAAGATACCAATGTTAGCTTATAATAAACTAACAAATTAGTCATAGCATAAAATTATGTTATCACACTTAATATTAATGTTATCAATAATCATTTTGAGAGTCTGGACTTATTAAACATGGTTCACTTTCTTTCTTCCTTTATTAATCACTAGCTTTCCGCCCGCGGCTTCGCACGCGTGGATTTTTGTCTGTCACAGAAAAACTTTATCGCGCGCTGCCCTGTTACAAAAACCGGGATAAAAACTATCCTATATCCCGGGACTCAAACTATATCATCAAAATCGGTTCAGTGGTTTTGGCGTGAAAGAGAGACAGACAGAATTACTTTCGCATTTATAATATTATACCTAGTATAGATAGTATAGATTATTATTGTCTTAATATTCTACTGTGACAGTCATCAGAATATACATTTGACTTTGCTCTTCATCAGTCTTTCCCAAAGTGGGCGATAACGCCCCCTTGTGGGCGCTGCAGGCGTAAAGGGGGGCGGTAAGAGACCCAGAAAAAAAAATCGGGACGTTGTGTAGAGGCTTGGGAGGCGTCATCTACTAGGAGGACTCTTAGTCACCGACTGAGTTCGACTCTTGACTACAGTTCATACTTTCTGCCACACTAACAACCGGTCCGTATGGACATTTTGACACCTGCACATTCCAACCGTTGAGCGTTTTTTCGCATTGACTACCCAGTCCCTGAATGCAGGGGCATTCCCCTAAAAATATTTTATTCTCCAAGTGGGCAGTAGACTAAATAAGTTTGGGAACCGCTGCTCTTCATCATCACGTCAGTTAGTCCACTGCATGAGCACGGCTTCTATAATTTCTCAGAGGCAAATGGAGGATTTGGTCTACACTTTCCCCGGTTAACTTCGAACTCCTCCTATGTTCTTCTGATTTCATTTCGTCGCGGGTCTAATGACAGTTTAACGGGGTTCTTTGGTTGGGTTTTTATTGGCGGTCAAGCTGTAGACACTGCGGTGTCGGTACCGCAGTGTCTCAAGTCAAAAGTATTTGACCAGTGTGTGTTGCCAGTGATGGTGTATGGCTCTGAGACGTGGTCGCTTACTATGGGCACGGTAATACTATCTATACAGTATTCCAACTCGGCCATATTTTTCAAATAAATGTCAACAGCCGCGCGGTACGTCACGGTATGACAACATGCGATAGGGCTGCCCACCTGCAGACCCTATTTTCATTACATCTGCCTACTAATAATTTCTATCTAATTTTGTGATTGTAATTTTTAATTTTATTTTGAAAAACAAAATACTTCGTGAATGAAATAGGATAAAAATGCATGTTGTTTTGTGATTAGTAGATTTCATTTGAAAAATATATTTGTAATGATATATGATTTAGTAACAAATCTTATAAACCGACCGCAAAATGTATGCGTCTCGACTGAGGCGTACAAAATGCTTGATTATTATACAGGGTGTTAGGTAAATGGGTTTATAAGCCGACACTAGCCCATGTTAACATGTGCATATAAATGGTATGGTGAAGTCAGAAAATTGATATCATCATTTTATTAATTTGAATTTTATTACAAATCTGATTTTATAAATTTTATTTTGTATGGAAATTAAAAAAAAAATATGATGANGTATACCTGGGACAAACAGTCCAGTTAGGTAGGTCCAACTTCGAGAAAGAGGTTAATCGTCGAATCCAACTCGGCTGGGCAGCGTTCGGGAAGCTTCGCGAAATTCTCACGTCCGAAATACCGCAGTGTCTCAAGTCAAAAGTATTTGACCAGTGTGTGTTGCCAGTGATGGTGTATGGCTCTGAGACGTGGTCGCTTACTATGGGCCTCATAAGAAGGCTCAAGGTCACCCAAAGAGCGATGGAGCGTGCTATGCTCGGAGTTTCCCTGCGTGATCGAATCAGAAATGAGGAGATCCGTAGGAGAACCAGAGTGACTGACATAGCCCGCAGAATCGCTAAAATCAAGTGGCAGTGGGCGGGGCACATAGCTCGAAGAGATGATGGCCGCTGGGGCAGAAAAGTTCTTGAGTGGCGACCACGAGCTGGAAGACGTAGCGTGGGCAGGCCTCCCACTAGGTGGACCGACGATCTGGTGAAGGTCGCGGGAAGTACCTGGATGCAAGCGGCGCAGGACCGGTCTTTGTGGAAATCCTTGGGGGAGGCCTTTGTCCAGCAGTGGACGTCTTTCGGCTGAAACGAACGAACGAACAAGCTGTAGATCCTTGCTACTCAGGAGTTGCAGCGGTGGAAACGAGATGTGGGAATAGTCCCGTGGCCAGACGAGTTGGGAAGGCTGATGTTCACATATCTGTCTTAGTCATATTTTACTACATCCACGGGACCTTGAGAAGACTGGGTATCCAACTCGTATTTTACTCTGCCAGAACCACACGGCTAACTTTTTTTAAATGAATCTAATGCAGGTCACCAAGGCCCAGTTTTTTGATCCATAAAAATAATCAACTGTCTGTGACAAGACAGTGGTTAAATGTCAGCAAAATTAGTTTTTCAAACGATAATAAAATTCTGGATATCTTGTAATATTTAACCTATATCTTGTAATATTTAACCTATGACTAGGAAAAATTCTAACGTTTATTCTGTGCTTTCATTAAAAGCGTACAGAGTTGAGATGACATGAGTCACGTGACTCTTGACGTAAGTAAGTTACTCATCCCATAATCGGGAAATTACTATGAGTTGCAATTTGGGTGCACTCATTTGACACAATTTCTAAATAACTCGATGCGACAGTCACCTGTTTTGCATTTTCAGGTGACAGGTTCATTGAACTTGAGATATGGAGGTAATTTGAATTTAAATTTCGAACTGCAAATAGAAACTAAAGAACTTAAAAAAGTACTTATTCAATTAACAAAAAAAGAGGCAAGTCATTGGCTGGTAAGAATTCTTTAGTTTTTACAGCAGTATTATGAAACAACGAGAAAATTCACTTTTTTCACTGCACTAGTAGGTAGATTCATTAATGAATATCGACCGTAGTCAAAAGAAAATCAATATTACCAATGACGTTGCAATTCAAGAAAAATATCGTTCCTCTAAAAATCTCTGCCAATCGTCTTAAAAAAAATATAATCCAATTAACTTTATTATATGAAAGTTATTACGAAACTAACGACATTCAATTGTTTATTTCGCCGTAATAAACCTAATTCTAAATGTCAAAAATAGTGACCGTAGCACAAATAATTCCCTAAACCAAATACATAACGGCATACTACTAAATGTATACCTATATTGTGTACCTGGCGTCAGATCGTCAGGCCATGTATTGATTTTTACGCCCTCGCCGCCTGTCCTTGGGAAGTAAATCTAGTGGCTCAACAAATAAGGTTCTATTTTGATTGAAATAATGGTCGGTTTAAGACAAAGGTTGGAGGCACTGAGTCATCTTTTTGTTTCTGTCTGGGATATAGGGACTCTTTGTGCTCGAATGTTCTGCGTCTACCTGCGTTTATAATTTACTTTGATAAGAAACACATCTATAGGTATTTTTTTTTAATCCACAACGAGGAAGTTCTTGGCCTGTATCGCACCTGATGGTAAGTGATGATTAGGCCGTATTTATTAAAGCGAAAGGTCACTGACTCACTCACTCATCACGAAATCTCAGAAACTACAAGTGCTAGGAGTCGTCAAATTTTGCATGGGGATTCCTTTTAGAACGCAGGTGCTCACTAAGACGCGGGATTTTGCAAAATTCAACCCCTAAGGGTGTAAAACGGGGTCCACACGCACGAAGTTAGTCCGCTAGTGTACAAAAAATAACACAAACGTGTACATATAAATGTCATGTCAACATTATCACGATATCATATTCCGGTTTGACATACGAATAATAATCGAAGCAAAATAAATTATTTTTTTACTGAATGAATATGCCAATGCAATCAATCCTTTTAGAAAACAAAACGGCAAGTCATTAACAAAATAAATCAATTCGTCAAATTGAAAATCGTCGCTTGTATTTCATTTACATACATTTATTGAAATTCGTGATCACCTTCTAAAGGTGTTTCCAAAAGAAAAATCTATTAGCTAAGTAACAAGACGACAATGAGTCCACATCCCATTATGTTATTCTAATAAAACCTACATACACAGAACCGCCTTAGTCATCTATTGTCGAGTTTTCTTGGAAATGTAAAATGAAAGCGCCCTACGTTATTCAAACATGCCCGCAATCAATTGTAACAAATATTCTTTTGTTGTTGCAGAAATCAAAACAGAGGAGGTCATCACGGAAGCCAAAGTCGAGGCTGAAGAAATGGAAATGGTTGAGAAACAGGATTTTAGGCCGGCGCGGACGACCAGCATCGACAGCGACAACCGCTCGGACAGGAGCGAGGAAGAAGATACTAGAAGATCTCGGAAGAGAGCAGCCTCGACTTCTCCATCCCCAATCACAATGGATAAGAGAATCGCCAGGTTCGAATGCCCGAAGTGTCGACTGCGCTTCGACTCAGCTAACACCTTCGATTTACACAGATTCACAGCACACGGCGACGACACTAGAGCGGGCTTCGATGACCTTACCTTCGTAGACTTCTCCAGCAAGAAGTTTCCAGAGATTGCGCGAGGTGTCTGCGAACGCAACCCCCACATATCGGTCACGGAGCAACGCTACCGATGTGATCTCTGCACAAAAGACTTCCCATGTGGCCAAGCCTTAGACATTCACAGGAAAACGTGCACCGGCAACGCCAGAATCCCTAGTCCCGAAAGAGATAGGAGGGAAGACTTCTTTGCAAAGCTTGATCTCAGAAACAGATCCTTTGGGATCCCTGGAACATTGACTCCACCTATGGACAGATTCACCCCTAAGTTTGAAGATGGGCATCTCACTACCAACGGGATTAGACACATAGATGCTGCCAGAGACTTGGCTGATATTCAATCTATCCTGAACGTCACATCTGCTGGAAGTCTCTTAGAAAGATTGACTGGCACTAGAGTAGCATTAGAAAGTGCTGTGTTAACACCTCCAGACACTGCTAGTAAAGATAGAGAACATGAAGAGACCCAGGATAATTTTGCAGCTGAGTTTAGACGCATGAAGTTACGAGGCGAGTTCCCCTGCAGATTGTGCCCTGCTAAATTCCCTAATTTACGTGCCTTAAAGGGTCACAATAGAGTGCATCTTAGTGGAACAGGCCCAGGACCATATCAATGTAACATGTGCCCTCACGCATCTCTAGATAAGGCAGCTCTAGTAAGACATATGAGGACACACAATGGAGATCGGCCTTACGAATGTGCTGTCTGTAATTATGCATTCACCACAAAGGCTAACTGTGAACGTCATCTGAGAAATAGACACGCTAAAGTCACGAGGGAGGATGTGAAACGCTCCATCATTTATCATCCATCAGAAGATCCTAATAACGATGAAGTTAACTCAAAGCTAGCTAGAGATGACGTCAAACGATCTCTAGCATTCCAAACTCCTGAATTTGAAAGACGCACTGAGAGCACCGGTCGTGACACGCCTTTGACACATTTCACTCCCACCTTCATTGCTGAAAGACATCCAGTTGCTTCACTTACTGCAAAACCTTTACCAGAAACTCCGATATTACCACCAAGGGAAACAGAACAACCTTTGCCAAGAATTAAAGTAAAAGGTATCGGTCAACTTACTCAAATACCTGAATACCGACCGCCAGAGATTCCTTTTAAGACCAATGACGTACAATCTGATACATATGACGAGGAAGCTCCAGTTGATCTCAGTACAAGTGACAACAACAGCTGTGACGTACTCGATCTCAGTAAGAAGAAGCGTGATACTGAAAACGATGAGCCTAAACCCCCACCGAGACCCTCATTTGAACCTGATCCCGCCGCTGTTGCGGCTTCTACTTTTGAAAAAGCAAGACTTCTAATAGCCCAGCAAAGGCTTTTCGAAAATACTCTTCCCAAAATTGATCCTGCTTATTATGCCTCTCAATTATCTCAGCTCTACGCTGGCACAGTTCCTGGAATCCCTGGGTTGCCTTTACCGCCGTCCTTTCCAATCAGCCCTTACTTTCTTCAACCCTCGTTTTTTCCTCACCCAACTGATTCCCAAGAACTTGCCGAAATAAAACAGCGTATACAAAAAGAAATTATTCGCGGTCTGAGTATGTCTGGCGGTAGACTTGTTCCGAGCGACCAGGAGGCTCCTACAAAACAAGAGCCAGAGGAAGAAGATCAGAAGCCCATACCACAGCCAATATCTCCTTCACCATCTCCTCAACCCGAATCTCCAAGGCCTCTGAACAATACGGGTCTAGTTTCACAAAATGACTCAGTGAAAATGGTTATAAAAAACGGCATACTGATGCCAAAACAGAAACAACGTCGATACCGCACTGAAAGACCTTTCTCTTGTTCTCAATGCTCAGCTCGTTTCACTCTACGGTCAAATATGGAGAGACATGTTAAGCAGCAACACCCGCAACATTGGAGTGTCAGGAGACCCGCCCCAAGGGCCCCACCGCCATACCCGACACCTGATGCTTTGGCAGACCGAGTGAAATACGCACTCTTAGCCCGTCATCTGGAAAGGCCCTTACAGCAACCAGAAAGATCCCCAATCCGGAGAGATTCCGATGAAGTTGCTGACAACGAAGAAGATGAAGATGATACTTTAGTCATTGATGAGGAGCCTGAAGATAAAAAACCTGATGAACATTCGGCAGCACATCGAGCTGCCGCTGAAATATTAATGGCCACCCGTCAGCAAGAACTCCACAAGGACTTCGATCTCAAAATTGCTGGGAACTTGATCAATAAACCTGTTCTCATGACACCTGAGAAGACTGAGACGGGCACAGATCCCATTCAGTTGTCTGCGCATGACCCTGTCCCTGTGGTCCCGACTCGCAGTGACGAGGAAGAAGATGAAGAAGGTCTAGTCGCGTCTACAAGTGAAGGCAATAACTCTGGCAGCGATGAAAATAAGTAAGTTGTCTTATTAACCAACATTTATATTTAATTACTACTACAAATTAAAATCTAATGCTTCATTACAATATTATCGTGTCAACATCCACTAAATATTCCTCTCCTTTCTTTTTAGGTCGGAGTCTGATACTGGAACTCAACCACCGAAGAAAAAATCCGCCTACAGCCTAGCTCCGAACCGAGTTTCTTGTCCGTACTGCCATAGAAAGTTCCCCTGGTCGTCGTCGCTCCGCCGCCACGTACTGACGCACACCGGTCAAAAGCCTTTCAAGTGCCCCCACTGCCCTCTGCTCTTTACCACGAAATCGAACTGCGACCGCCATCTGCTGAGGAAACATGGCGGATCTGCAAGAGCTATCCTAGCCGAGCCTATTCCTGATGCTGTACCGCCTTCGCAAGCAGCCAATGACAGCAGAGCAGTTCCAGAGAGGCCGTTCAAATGCGCATCATGTCCTAGCAGCACCTTCTCATCAATGGATACTCTGAAAAAGCACATGACTTCTCGGCATGGAACTGGCGACTCGCAACCTGGCTCACCTAACCCTGATGTCAACGATGACGCGGGTGACGTCAGCTTAGTCTTCAAGTGCCATCTGTGTGAAGCATCGTTTGGGGAGAGAGGGGCGGCGTTGGGTCACCTGGCTACAACGCATTCGGCTGAATACGAGCAACTGGTCAATAAAGGGGCGCTGGATGCCGCTAGCGATAGAAGCGAAAGTGCCGATGATGATGAGCGAGGGAGGGTTCCTGATCATGTCAATAGAAAGGTGAGACCTCGGAACTTTTATATTTCTATTCATAGATCAACAGAACAGTAGAAGAATCATCATCAGAAGTCTTTACCAAAATTCTATCTTGACTATATCTTTTCAGGTTGTCTGCGCCTTTTGCGTCCGGCGTTTCTGGTCAGCAGAAGACCTTCGTCGCCACGTCCGAACGCACTCTGGCGAGCGGCCCTTCGCTTGCGACCTTTGCCGGCGGCGGTTCACCCTCAAGCACAGCATGCTGCGGCACCGCAAGAAGCACAGAGAAGAGACCGATGATGAGGAGGCGTCGCCACCTAACACGCCTGTGGAGCCCGAAAATCTCACTAATGGGTGAGTATTCATCATTATTTTACAACTTAATTAACTTACCGCAATCAAACTACACAGCAGCCTTTTAAATAGTAAAAAAATCTAATTTATGTTCTCTTTCGTCCCTCTAGATACCGTTACCAAGACGACGACGGCTCTGGAAACGAGATCCCAAGCAACGTCAACAACAACAACTCCCCACCTTCCGCTCCTTATGAGAAGAAGCTCAAACTCGACATGACCTCCCGAAAGTACTCATCGGAGGCTGAAAACGACACGGAAAACGGCGGCGACCTCATCGGGAAGCTTCTAGGCATCCCAGACAAGACAATCATCAACAAACTGCTCTCTTCCGCGGACGAAGCAGCAAAATTCCTTGGAGTAAACAAATGAGAGTACGCTTTAGTCCTCGTGACGCCGGCTAGGCTGATCCTAGCTCCGCGAGGACTAAAATTGCCGCTCCAAATCCAAACTTCGGCATCAACGAACGCAGATAAGTGTACAACGCCATCTAGCAACGAGTAGATGCATAAGTTTTAAGTTTACGCGCGAATAACACTGTGGCAAAAGAGAAAAGTCATTATTACAATAAGGCCTCTGAACTCAATTTGCCACAGTTATGCGCAATTATATTTTAAAAAATAAGTATTTTGTGTAAATACGGAATTATTAGTAACTCTTATATTTTATCTAGGTGCCTTTAGATGCCTTAATTTTGAATGAAAAGCCGTCCTTTTCTGCCTTAGCATACTTCTGACGCTTTTATGTGGGTGACGAGCAACGAAATTTTCATTAGTGCCAGTTTTAAGAAAGTACATTTTTATATTTAACCCAACCTTGTAGAGGTGGCATATTTTGATCTTAGTTTAAGTACCTAGTTTACTATTACATTAATAGTTCGTACTGAACATACTGTAGTCGATCCAAAGCTAGTTTATAATAATATTGCACCAAAAACCTCGTTACTGGAAGCTACCAGACACGTGCATTTTCAACTAGTCGTGTTGTGTCTATTTCAGTGTATTTTCAATCATATTTCACTATTCGAGACTCATTCGCACATTTTTAAATATCAAAGCCAAACTTTTAATATAAATCCAAATTTATCTAGTCACATTAAACATTTTCTTATCAATATGCTAAAATACCAAAATGTCGGTATGTAAGAAGTTTTAACGTAAGTCAGTCGAATTATTGTAAACCTCAATTTATTACTGTCCTACCAATTAAGCCTACCAATGAATAAATAGATAAGTAAGCTCGTAAATACATAGGTAAATAAGAAGTATTTAATCTTATCAAATAAATCCCTTTCTTCTCCGTTTGATGCTTTTTATATCATATTATATCGATTTTAATTGTCTCAATATTGATTTACAAACTTATATAAATATCCTAATTTTATTCAAATGCAAAAGTGGAACAATTCTAATCACTTATGTTCCAGAATAAATTGTATCTCTTAAAGTAGATTGGTAAGTAGATTCGCCTTTTATATTATTTCTTCTATCTTTTCTATTTCCTATGTTAGTAAGTTTTCTACCACCTACTTATTATAAGTATAAAAAGTACTATTATTTGCTCAAACTCATGGCATTTCTTTAACTTCAAAGACTATTTAAAATACATTTAACTAAGATCTCTTATTTTATTCTAAGGTTAATGTAAGAGGTTTTTAAATAGCTTTTATTTCTCCGAAAACAGGATTCCGTTGCTCTTTGGTGGTCGTTATTTTACCATTTGAAAAAATAAGAAAATTTTCAAATTACCATTTTTCGTTTTTGTTACGATTGCGAATATTTTAAAGAAAGTTTTGTATAATAATTATTATTTTTTATTTAAAAATTCTTATGGTGCAGCAATATTATGTTTATTGAGAGTTGAAAACTCAATTTAGATTAATTAATTTTAAGAAATAGGTCTCCTAGATTGGATTGACCATTCATACGCTAGAATATACCTAAGTCCCAATTTGCTTTGTATATATTTTACGCTGAACTAGACGTACCAAATATAAATATATTATTTAGATTATTTAAAATATACTTTTATTATATTTTAATCTTCAATTCTAATATTTAAGGAGGCTGTCTATATCTTACCTACCTTACCTACTTTGTAATTTGTAATAATAAATAATTATAGTAATATAACTGCAGTTAATAATATTTAAGTATTCTATAATAATAACCCGATGATGTAAATGTAAGGAAATTTTAAATAATTAAAGGAATTCGTTTAGCAATAAAAAAGAAGTTGCAGTATAAGAACGTACCTTTTAATATTGTAGTGGTTATATAAGTCAAACGTGCATTAAATTTTATTCCGTAAACGTAGTTTAGTGTATAACTATTGTTGTAATACTAAAATGTATACCAAAGTAAGTTAAGGATGTTTTATATTAATTAATTTGAACGAAATCCTGCTTCATGTCAATTATAGTTAGAGTGAATCAAGAACTAGTTTGATATTGTAACTAATATTGTATTTATATGATTTTTCGTTTAATTATTCATTTGCTAGATTTTAAAACGGCCAGTAGGTATCAGTTTGAAGATTAATAATATGTAATTTTAATATATTCTGGGTGTTAATGTGTTACATAAAGTAGAAATCTCGTACTTAATAATATAAGATTAGATTTAAGTTTAAATACCTATAAGAATGTGGCAACACCGCTTGGCCTTTCAAACGTAGTTTCGTGTGTTTAAAATTATTGCTCTTAGATAAGATTAATATAATATTAAATTAAACTTTACCAATTTTAAATGCATGATTTTAATATTTTAAGTAAAATAATTACTTAAAACAAAATTGTCTATTTCACATTTTGCCTCACATATTTTTTTGCAATACGAGTGTCGTTTTTAAAACGTTTCTTTGGTGAAATATAATTGTGTAATATTAAATAAACTCTCTTTTATTCATAAAGACCTTTTTGTTAAGTACCTACCTTTATCTATCACCTCCTATAATTACTTATGCGTTTGAAATAAAACACAATATAAAAAAATCGCCACCTACAAAAAAAATGGAAAAGGAAGGAAGGCATACAAGTAGGTAAATCTATTTCACAAAAATTAACTACCTGCTCGATTGCATAAATGTTATTGTCTCGACATCTGTAGATAGTCGAAATCAATCGAATTGCCTAGTTTTCAATGAAAAAGATATTTACCAAATCATGAAATAAATTATGTCGAGTTTCAACACCGATTTAATAAACAGTAAATAACAGTTTTCGTTTTTAACGCCATCTATCGCAAACATACAAATCTATGGACAGAGCCATCTATTGTAATTTAAAAGTAACTATAACAAGTTTGGTCACCAAGCTTTTCAGCGTGCTTTTGATTAGAATTCTACCCGACACAAGATGGCGTTAAAATACGTCAAGAAGTTTTTTAATTAGAAAAACAATTTAAAACCAACTCTTCGGTCTCTTTCTTCGTCCATAAAATCCGTTGACGACCGCTAAATAATACTATCTACCCAATATCATTCTTCTAAAATAAATTCACAGTTGTCTCCGAATAATTACAAAAATATGCATTACCTGAACGCATCAGATAAAGCACCATTGAAGCTTAGCCAATAGAGCGACAGGGATACCCTCTAATGATCTATATCCATTTAAAAGGGGTAATTTCAGTTATTTGGTAGTAGTGATTTTCAAGTTCTAAAAAAAGGTATTTTCTTTTACTAAATGAATGATTTGTTACATTACATTAACACGTGAATGCTATCAATACTATAAAATAACAGTGCCGGAAACGGAAATCTACTTTAAAAAACATAACCCTCCTTATCCTTCGTCCTCCTTGTCGCTTATGCTTGCAAAGATGTTGCAATGTTGATAAGATAATGCTAATCTGCAAAGCTACTGGAACACGAACGAAAATCACAAATCCATATTACGGTATTGTTTTGACAGCTAGTTTAAACAAAGCTTTAACGTTAATGGAGCGCAACTGCGCCTTTAGTTAAAACTGACAAAAAGCAACTTTTGTTTTGTTTTGATTTATTTCATGAATATTATTATTTATTACATTTGTCTAATTAAAATTATTATTGTCCTGTCTGTGTCGTTAATTTGGTATTTTATTTTTTAATGTGAATTTTAATTTATTTTGACATGTTTATTTGAAATTAATTGTATTGTTTTTTGTTTTTTTTTTTGTTAATTTTATTCTTATTGTAATTTTTATTTTATTGTGAATTTTAATTTTTATATATTTTTGGACATGTTTATTTAAAATTTTAGTAATTGTATTGTTCTTTTTTTTAATTTTATTGTAATTGTTATTTTTATTTTAATGTGAATGTTAATTAATTTGAATTTATTTTATTATATTTTTTTTGCCCCTGCGTACAAGGCACCCACTGAAAACCAGTGTCTTGGCACTTGGCAGTAAAATGTCAACTGTCAAGATAATACTGAGTGGGTGACCTCTTTGGCAACATTTTTTTTTCTCCGCCTCGTTGTTTTTTGTGCCTTTTAGTTGTCAAATAAATAATTTTTCTTTCTTTCTTTCTTTCATCTTTACCTCAAATATTTAAAGTAACATAAACGAATTATTTTGCTGTTTTATTAATTTTAGTAAAATAAAGTGAAAGTAAAATGCATAAGTACATTGCCATTAACTTTACCGAAATAAGTAGGTACCGAAGTTATACATCGGCTGGAATGAAAATACAGTGTGACTGGAGATGAAGCGCAATTGAATTAGAGATATTAAAAACTAGCTTTCCGCCCGCGGCTTCGCCCGCGTGGAATTTTGTCTGTCACAGAAAAACTTTATCGCGCGCGTCCCTGTTTCAAAAACCGGGATAAAAACTATCCTATGTTCTTTCCCGGGACTCAAACTATCTCTATGCCAAATTTCATCAAAATCGGTTGCGAGGTTTAAGCGGGAAAGCGTAACAGACAGACAGACAGACAGACAGACAGAGTTACTTTCGCATTTATAATATTAGTTGGGATTAGTTGGGATTGGGATTAGCATGATTCGGGCCTCTGTAAAATAATATTTTTTGTAAGTTATTTAAATGGACTTTCATTAGCCATGTATAACCACTTTTTTGTTACGTACCCTATCCGTCAAATTATTAAAATTTTATCATTTTCTAAATTTTTTTTTTTTCTATTAAAACTGTAACAAGTACTAAAACAAAAACATTTTTTTCTTATGTTGGGGTAATTACAACTTTATGTATGGTAACCCTAAATAGTGAATGAAGGAATTTGAAGAAATAGAAAGAAGTCGCTAATTTATGTTAGACGGCGTCTTTATTTTGAGTTTCAATTGCTTAACTTTTGTGATTGTTTCGAAACATTACGCAGTGCCCTTGGATCGTTACTTTAGTTAGTTTGGTTAGTATTTTCATTAGAAAAAGTATAATAAATAGGCAAAATATATTCATACGCTAGTTTTCTATGCATTCTTCATAGTGACGTATTGTAAATTGCACTTTTTCTGATATTTTTTATAGCTCTAATAATTTTTGATATGATAATCACAGTCATGAGATTGAAATCTCTTGTGTGTGGTGTTAAAAAGTGTTTTCTATTTATATTTGTATATTATTTACATATGTAAATATGTTTGCAGACAAAATTATCCAATATGGGCGATCAGCAATTCTTTCTAAAATGGAACGACTTCCAGACGAATATGGTCACATCGTTTAGGCACTTGAGAGACGAGAAGAGCTTTACAGATGTAAGTATTTACTTATGCTTGGGTAACTAAGTTTTTATTATAACCTCTCATACATTGATTTTTCCAACTGACTACTGTTATTATAAAATTCTGAGTACCTTGAGTGTTTAGTAAGATAACCACAAGTAAGTTCTCGGACTATTTTATACGATAAATCGAAAAACACAATATTGAAACTTCATTTTTGTAGGTAGTTTTGAATAAACTAAAGTTAACAGTTTTCTTTACCTTTCTAGAATATGTATTTTTTTTGTTGTACCCTACAATATTATTATCTCATCTTTAAGATCTACCCACAAGCACAAATATTGAATTATTATAATCTTTTAGATATCCGTAGAAAAAATAGCCATGAAATTGTTATTCCTAAATTATGTACTTCAATGCTCCTAAAATGCATTTCATTTCTGTATCTATTTTAGTTGTAGTAACCTGTTTATATCCGTTGTCTAGTACCCACAGTACAGGCTTTGCTTAGTTTGGGACTAGAAGCTTAGTGTAAAATGTCCAAGGATATTTATTTAGTATGCTTAATATACAATTTCAAATAACTTTTCAGGTAACATTAGCGTGTGAAGGACAAACGTGTAAAGCGCACAAAATGGTCCTCTCTGCGTGTAGTCCATATTTCAAAAGCTTATTAGAGGTGAGTAGATAATTTATATTCGCTGACGCCATTACTGCCTAAATAATATGTACTATCCGTTCGCTTTAAGTTTGCCGCTGGCTATATGACGTCACTCGAAGGGAAGTCGTCTATAACTTTATCAAACTATATTTAAAATATTTTTTATTCATTTATTGATATAAATTGTGTATAAAATATGCGTAAAATAAGACACATTAATTGCGTTTAATCGCGGTTGGGAGAGGGGACGCGCATTCCACGGACCGGCAAACTTATCGCGAACGGGTAGTTTTTTTTTTCTTTTCTCTATCATGCGATCAGTCAGAAGACTGAGCAGATTTTTTCTGTGATTATCTTTGATGAAGTAATAGACTGTTTCTTGGAGACAAGAACACTATGTTTTGTCAATAAACTGTAAAGAAATTCTTATTAGAGATGAGTGTATGAGGATCGGAGGTAATTAAGAATGATTTTTATTTTATAACTAATTTATGGAGGCTGACTGACTGTTATAATAACAGAACCTAGTATTATATCAATTGACAATGTTACACATTTTTTATGTTTTAGAAATAGATGTTTGTGATTTTCAAAGAGTGCCACACATTATCATCACCCTAAATTGGAAACTATAGGTTCAGTCTACCTATAGTTTTAAAAGACAATAAGACCATTCTACAGGGTGTCCCAAAATTAGTATGTCACACTGACATCAGAGGTAAATGAGCTTAAGACGCCTCTAACAAGTATATTAAGTCAATTTTTAAAAATAACTAATATGAGTCATATATTTTCAAAACTCATCAAATTTTGCTATGGAAATGAACAAATAAAATTTTGGTCATATCTTAAAACTTATGAAACTTTTCTATGGACATATTAAGCTTGTTTGATGCGTCTTAGACTCAGCTACCTCCAGTGTCAGTGTGACGTGCTAATTTTGGGACACCCTGTATAATTGAAGCAGTTGAAAATACCTATTAATTACGGATACTAAGTGTAAACACCGGGATGTTGAATAACATGTAAAATAACACCCACCAGTATTTGAGCAGTGTGTTATTGAAACGTTTTCGCGTTTCCTCCGATGTTCTGTTGGTTCAGTCAGTCCATTTATAGGTCTAGCTAGAGCATAACTCAGTGTCTGAGGGATGGGACCGACACTGAAGGGTGTTTTTTAAGTCAAATGTCAGCGAGACTTCAGATTTGTATGCTCTATCATGTCAAAATCACCCCTCCTTTTATAGTTAGGTATTATTCGCCATATTAATACTGATTAAGAATTGAAATACCTACCTCAAATTAGTGCCTAGCACTTGAGAAGAGATTGATAACAAAATCTCACAAGAGCTAGATAGGTATAAAAAACTTAATTACATAATTGAGGCGTCTAGTTTCAAATCCCGCTAAAACGATTTTGATAAGATTTCGAGAAATTGAAAAAAACCGCTTATCCATATAGCTTTGGCCTTAGGCAAAAAAAAATATGATACGAATTATTATTGTCATCTGGCAATACTAACAGTAATTGCTATTTATCTTTAAATTAAATATAATTTGAATTATAATTAAAACTATTTTCATTTTGGCGTATTTTGTTACGAACATTCGGTTTTAATGGGATTTGAAACGGACATGTTGTATTTTAGCGGGATTTGATAAGAGCAAATTATGAAGCAACCACGTTATAAAAAAATCTCCATACTGATTTCGCAGTCACGTGACCAAAATACCGTGCTACCATTGGTCAATCAACTTTTAGAGGGTTTTGAAAGAAACGGACGGCGTTTTAGCGGAGTTTGTAACACAAACCTAATTTTAAGTGCTAGTTTAGTAGTCTTTTAGTGTATTTTGATCGAAAATGATTGAACAGTATGATGAGAAAATTGCAGTAGCATCATTTAGAGATATAAACAGAAATTAGTTGCAGGAGCGTTTTAGCGGGTTTTGAAACTAGACGACTCAATTATTAACATGTTGATATCTTTTCATTCTGTATAAAAATGTTCGTGCATCTCACGGTCACTTGACCCTAGCGGAATTCAAACCCGCAACCGTTGACCTGTGCGCCAATCACCAAGCCAGGTCATAAATCCATAGCCAATGTCGCTGTAGACGATCATACTGTTCAACAAATATTATAACAGTAAATACGACCAACCGGCACCACTAAAAATACTTAGTTTATAATAATTATGAATTATCACGAACTAGTTCTATAAACTATTAAAATTATTTAAAATCTAGTTCCCATACACAACTTTACATGCAGGGAATTTTTTCCTCCCAGAAAATTTTATTCAAGTCTATCTTACATGGGTTGATTTGTCCAACACAGGATCATTTTTAAGGCGCCTAGAAATCACTATTTCTTCCCTAGAGAAATTGGGCGAATGTTAGTCATAATATGACCAATGACCATCATCATCATTTTAGCTACAGGACGTCCATTAATATACATAGGCCTCCCCCAAAGATTTCCACATCGCCCGTTTGGTAGCAGTCTCCATACAGCCCATGCATGACCATATTCCTTTCAAAACTGTAATATCACGTCTTCCATTACAGGAAAACCCCTCGAAGCACCCGATAATAATCCTGAAGGACGTGTCGTACCTGCATCTGCAAGCAATTCTGGAGTTCATGTACGCCGGCGAGGTGAACGTGTCGCAGGAACAGCTGCCCGCTTTCCTCAAGACTGCTGCCCGGCTCAAGGTCAGTCATCATCATCGTCCATTATCATGATAATACCAGTTTATGGCCCGGATTCTACGAAGGTGTAGCGGAGAAGTGTTGAGCCGTCAAATTTTTCTATAGAATTTGACAGCGGTGGCGGCGTGGCGCGGAGCGGAGAGAAGTGGAAATAATGAAATCTGATTGATTATTCAATACACTTCTTCGCTTTACTCTGCCTTGGTGGAAACCAGTCCTATCTCTAGTCCAGGAAACTCGAGTGTTTCCATGTGAGATCAAAACAGAAATTAGATTTGTAGGAAAACGCAAGTAACTAACATAGCCTGCAGGATTGCCAATCTTAAGTGGCAGTGGGCAGGGCACATAGCTTGTAAAACTGGTGGCAGTTGGGGCAGAAAAGTTCTCGAGGTGAGACCTAACCATTAACTGTATCCATCTTCTGTACCACATTTAAAGCAAATAAATTCTGATTCTGATTCTCGAGTAGCGATCACAAGCCGGAAAACGTAATCTGGGTAGGCTTCCCTCTAAGTAGACAGTGTGGGAAGGTCTCTCGCTAAGTGGACTGACGATCAGGCGCAGGACTGGTCGTTACGGTAATTCTTTGGCGAGGCCTTTGTCTTGTCTGTCTTATCTTGCTAATATTATGTTATGGAGTAAAAGAAACTTCACATCAAAAGTAGATGTTTTCTTATTAGACAAATCAAACTGGTATTTTTTTATAAGATGTTCTTTTATTAAACAGTAGCTGAAGCAATCATAATGACCCTTATGTAAAAGATAATTAAATAAATAATTGTTTTATAACTCTTGTTCCAGGTCAAGGGCCTAGCGGAGCCCCCACCGCAGATGCCCAGCATCAAACGAGAAGGCTAACCCACCGTTGGGCAAGTGCTAAAGACTGTAGTGAACGTATGAGAAACACCAATGTAACATACCAAGTAAACACACCTCTTCGGTCCCACACTTGAGTACCTATTTGCAAATTTGTAGAAGGAGGCTCGCACTATGGTTTTATATTGTTTGCACATTGATTTTTCAACATATTGCACTAAGCCACACTGACAATACATTTGTTGTTGAATTTATAACGCATATTAGTATATTAATATGATTTAGTGACCACTGCTAAACGCAATCATGTTTTTTTATAATAGTACCATAGTGCTCACTTCCTTCGAACAATAGAGAATCTCTTTCAGATGAAGCAATATCTATTTTATAGATTCAAATCAATAATGCCAGTGGCCTTCAAAATTATATTTGTGTATATTTTTGTTGGTTTGCTGTGCAGTTTCAATTGAGAGTTGCGATTTTGTTAGCCGTCGATGTTTCACTGTGCTATACACTCGCAAGATGGTTTGGCAAGTCATGAATTCATTATAATACCAAATATAAAATAGTACCCACCGGCCAGTCTTCAGTAAATAGTGAAAAATAGGATTTAAAAGTTATTTTTTTACTCCCATTATTAAAAGTTGTGGAATGCCAACGGTTTTCTGTTCAAAAATAGTACCATAAACAATTTTTTTTATAATGAGAATGAACGATTTGCCAAATCATCCGAAAATAATAGTTGTTAGGTATAGTTTTGTTTTACATAACAAAATGCATTGATGTGATAGCATAGGCAAGACAACCTCTACACCCCCTGTAAGTTACCTAGCGACCAAAGTGAAATTAGATATTACTCCAAACTGCTTACTAACATTGGAACTATGCTAGCATATCAATTGCCCCCATAGGTCTATCCACCAATGGTTGCCTTACGATTACTGACGTACGGTCTATGGGAATAGATATGGTTTACTTTACGTAAGTAACTTAGGTAAATCACGATAAGCGACTTACAAAGTCTTTACATTTGCGAATTAATCATGAGTTAATTACATGAGTATTTATAAGTATAAAGCAGCCTTATAATCACAAAAAATATCACCTTTAACACACAAAACTAATATTATTTCCACATAAAAAGAAACTCAATAAAGGTGGTAATTTAGCGTGAATTTACAGCTCATTCAGTCCCATTCTATTCCCCATAACCTTAATACAAGTTGTGCGCCAATTTTTACCTTAACGCTTACTTAATGTAAGCGTCCATAAAGTTTATTTTACTGTCATCATTTTGATGCTTATATTTATTTGAAATCGACAAATCATATTATCTATTTTTTGCAAATCATGATAAAATTGACGTTCAACATGTGTTTTAATCGATAGTGTGACACAGCTTGATAGTAATAGATGTTAACACGTTTCTTGTAAAGATATAATAACTAATACCTCAGTAATACGCCGATAGGTTCGCCTTAATTGATATAATTATGGTACTTACCCCTTTTTACCCAAATTAAGGTTAGCGTCTAAATTGGATTTCACAAATTTATTTTATGTTTAGTTTATTCAATGCTTAGTGAGCAAGTACTCTTAGATTCCAAACCTAATGGTTTCTCTTTTTTTGTGCTTTATGGTATTTATTTAATGTCATTGGAATTTCACAAATGCAATATTATTATTATTTAGCGGTGGTAAGATACTCTAGGGCGAATATTTCGGCGACCTCACTAACTCTTACGTGACCTTGACCTGTAAATCGAAGTCTTATCAAGCGTATTTATGACAAACATTTTAATATTCAACTCACACCAATAGGATAATTAATTTTTATAATAATGTATGTATCATAATATAATGTTTCTCATCAATACGAATGTTATACTTCTGTACAATTTATATTTCAATATTTCTTTACATTTACTTATTAATATGAATTTCATATTTTTATTATTTCTACTTTAAAATCATTGGAAAATCATTTTTCTTTATTATGACTAAATTTGATAAAAAATAGTACAAAACCTTTCGAAGGAAGGAATTTCTTTATTTTTAATCATATTGACGATCAATCAAATGTCATCAGAGGCATATTGCATCACACTAAGTTTTCGAATTCATTCACTAACTCGTGCCTACAATGTGTTTAAGATGTTATAGATGCATAACTTGTGTGGAACAATATGGCATTTTGGGCCTTGTAGTAATTTGTAAGCGTTGAGATAAGTGCAATTTTTTTCTCATTTTGTATCAGTGTGTTGAGCATAACAGTAGGCGAAATAGTATTAGGATCTCACTTGAATTAATGAATATTCCAGCATTTCTATTAACACACTGTATCGTTTAATGTTCCCGAGTACTTTAAGTTCTTTTTGGTTCAGCACGTTGGTGTTAACTTTTATTTTTGTCGTTTTTTGTTTGTCAACAACTTACTGCCACTTTCCGTTTCCCCCAGATTCTTATTAAATATAACTATATTGTTAGCAAATGTTGTATAAAATGTAAATGAAATATTTTTAGACGACAGAGTAAAGGTATGTGCTGAATAATCATGGAAATAGTTTGTAATGATTGAAATTATGAAAGATTTGTAATTTTAGATAATACAGAAATTAATTACTGTATACCACTGTGTTTTCTTTTCTGTTAACTTATTTGTAACTTAGGTAAGTGAGATAAACACTACAATTTATGGTTTCACAAGTCTCGGATAAAGGGAAATATCTGGCGGATTATCGCTGGTACTTATTATCAGGGACAGGTACAATTACTGACCTTAATACACAATATGTTAGGTTAAAAAAAACAATTATTATAAAAACTATTTTTATTTTACATTTAGATAAATAATAAATTCGAATAACTGACATAAAATTAGCACCGCAAAAAATAAATACATGACTTCTAAGATAAAATTAATTGTACCTTTGGTAACATAGAATAAGAAATGCAATTAACTGGAATGATACATATCGTAGTACATTTTATAAATGCCAATAGAATGAAAAAGTAAGCCCTCATAAAAGCCAGATTAAAAATTAAGCAACAGGAGAAAATATTAAATAATGTAATCGATACAAATTCCATCAACTATTATCTTCGAATAACATCGATCTAAAATTATAGTACATTCGTTCGAAATAAACTATGAGATTTCAAATCTATTGGGATATTAGCTAGTCTTTTGTCTATTAAATATTAAATCTGGAATAATTTATATACCTAAATAATAGCCCCAAATTGTTCATTTGGATTGAAGCTTATAATTTAACATAGATTTTTTTTTTTTTTTTTTTATGTATAACAAGGCAGGTATTTGACCACAATCGCACCTGATGTTAAGTGGGATGCAGTCTAGGATGGTACATATCTGCCCTGTAAGTGCTTATTCACTCTCGCCTTGAAGAGGCCCGGATTATAGTTTTCGGGAAAGACAGCAGCAGGCAACGAATTCCAGTCCCTAGCTGTTCGCATTATAAAAGTGTCATCGAAACGCTTAGTGCGAGCTGGTGGAATGTCAACAATATAGGGATGGTACGCTAATTCTAAATAAACAATACAAAATAAATCTTTGGATATTATAGCCTGACCAGGAACATAAAAACCCTCGCCATGTTGCGGAAAACTAATGGTACTAATTTCTTTTAATGGCAACAGTTACTGAAAACTTAATTAACATGTCACTTTGCATGTCAGTCTATTGCTGTCAAAGTGTAAACAAACTTTATTTTAAATGTGTGCAATTGATTTTGTGAATTAAATTGCTAAAATATTTTTATAGTCGTGAAAGAAAAGTGGTTCACAATGTGTTAATGTATTTGTCGAAGAGAAATACCAAGGGTTCGGACAATATTTTCATTGAATAATGTTTCCGACAAAGGTTGTCAAATTGATTGACATGTTTATTGTATAATACAGTCTACTATGAAAATTAGCTGTAGTTTGTTTCAACTACCTATTTTAAAGTTTTTTGTCACTTTCTCAGTTTTGAATTTTATGGAATTGGGAAAGAAGTACCGAGTTTGAAGCGTTCATGAGCAGACATTGCAGTTGAATATTCAAGTTCTGAATTTGATTATTGATGAATAATAAAATAAATCCTACTAGCTCGATTGATGGTTTCATTTAATTTATTTAAACCAGGTTAATTTATGAAAATATCAAATTCGCCCGTAATCCTGAATCCTGATACATAAATTTAGCCTATTAATTTAACACAGGTACGACTGTACTCAGTGTTGCACTATCAAATGCAATTGAAGCGCCTCTATGCCAGGGTTTTTATGTTCCTGGTCAGGCTATAATATGTAACTAGAAACAAAAATAAAATATATTCTACACATAAGTTAAAATATTATTTGCACTGGCAATAAATTCCTTTGGTAACACATTTGGTGTTGTCAATTAAAAAATGAAAATCTTTTATGGCAACATAAATAGGAACGTACAAACATTAAAAACGTTGGTTCTTTAAATAATTTTACAGATTAAATTATATTCGTCGATTATATTTCTAAATAAAAGAATCAAATGGCACTAAAATAAACAATTTCGTAAAAAAATAGATGAGAGACACGTCATGATATTTTATTTAAATAACGTGTAAGTAGAGGTACGTATAGTTCGCGCAACGAAAGTTGAGGCGATCGACACAAGCAAAGATTTGTATCTGTATAGTCTGACTGACGATGTTTTCTCGCTTGCTCAGTGCCTACATTTAGGCTGAGTTGCACCACCATACTATGCTTTTTGTATGAGAGATTTTTGACGTTTGTTGATGCGGTTGCAGCAACCCAGCCTTAATAGCTAGTCTATTTGGACTTGAAGTGTACATAAGCGCACTTTATTCAGATATTAGGTACCTCTGTGAGTACCGTGTTTGCCTTAACTTTCGCTGCGCGACCTATATTTGCGATTTCTGGTTTATTACTTGTTTATTGTTCTATCATCTCGTGTCTCTAACCTAGCTATCGGAATGCACTAATACTGGCAACTAAATATAATTATTTATTGCGTTCAATTTTTTTTCATTTGTACATCTAAAGCTTGCAAAGCAAGTTAACTCTTTTTCTCTTTTTTTAGGCTTTCGTCTATAAAGACAGACTATTAAGTAGTAATCTTATAAATGTAGCAACTATACAATTCTATTGAAAAAATGTTTAATATACTTACATAATTTCAAGATTCTAATTTTTAACAATAACTGTGTACTTCGGTCAATTTTTTTGTCAGGTAAAGCCCTGGTAAATAGACAATCGGACACCATCAGTCAAATGTAGGTACATATTTTTATGAGTTATCAAAAAAATTGTCTCCGTCTCCATAATTATGGCAACACTCACGTTTGACGTTTTAGCTTCTGTTTGTAAAGTCAACTGGCCAAATGATGTTGAGTTCAAGTGAAATAAAACTCAGAAGAAACGAAAATGAGCCAGATTTTCGTACATTTAAAATCCTTTTCTTTTTAGTTAATTCAAGTATCACTTGTGAATAGTGTCCGTCCCCTTTATTCATAAATTGCCTATTGGCAAGTCGCTGCATCAAATTGATTTAGATTTGATCACCCAGGTGAACAAAGTATCACCTAGGTCATCAGTGGACTTCTTATCCATGGGTGATCAAAGGACACCAAAGTGTCGCTTGGAGTCCACTTTGTTCAACTGGATTTGATCACCCAGGTGATCAAAGTGGAATAGACCTTCAAATTACCTGTTTAACTCTTATTAAATCCATTGGGGTTATTGCTCTGCCACCTCCATGTGTCCCTGCACATATCCTCTAGCGTCCTTGTCGCACGCCAGCCTAACAGCCTATGCGAGAGCGAGACATCAGCATAGTTCGCAGCTATGTCTCCCGCGCGGCGGCTGACGATTCGGTATGGGATTTTGCGACCGCTGGCCGCTTCGAAAGCCGATATCATTTGGAGGACTGAGTATCCAGTGCCAGTACCTTTGGAGAGAAAATGAAAATGTAAGTGATTTAATTTGTTTTTATTTTATTACGGAAGAGCAAACAACTTTAAAACATTTTATTATTAGTTGGAAAGACGTAGGGTAAACCAGAGAGTGATTGCCCACTGATAGTGATTGCCCGCTTTAAGAATAATATTGTCAGGTGCTGACTTTGAATCACTCTAGTTAGATTTGAATTTACTAAGTAGATGGCTCCGTGATCAATGTACAGTAGATTTAAAATTTACAATAGGAAACACTTAAAAAAAAAAACAGTTATGGCGGATTTTGTCAGGACGGGTGAAAATGTTACTCAAACAGGTAAAGACTTTAACAATTTTACTAAGGAATTGCTTGCTGAGAGGTTAATTTTTTTTCCAAGTTATTTAATATTCAAGTAATGGTGTATAGCCATGATGAAATTATAAGTCTTTTCTCCATTACCAATGAAAATAACTGATAAAATTTGATTTCTAACGGTCATTTTAACGGTGGGTAATCACTGCACGTAAATCTGTATATTTTTAGTTATTGCCCACCATCATTTCAGTTATTGCCATATGTTAATATATAGTTATTGCCCAGTGCAATTATTATTAGAGTGTTGCCACCATGCAGTAGCAGTGTTTAAGTTGCTCATTGCTAGACTTGTTTTGCAATTTACAGGCTTATATATTGAAATGGCTTTTAATGTTTCATTTTCAGTATGCCAAAGACTCCAAAAGTTCAATATAGCTTAGAAAATTTGCAAAAAGCGATCTAAGCTGTACAAGATGTATCCAACAATTTATCTACAAGATAAATTGCTGAAAAATATGGTTTGGCTTGAAAAAATTGATGTAAATTCAAACTCAAATACAAAAAATGAAAATCCTACGTTAAATCTACTAGTGAAAATGTTAATTGTAAGGCAATAGATACAACTTTAGGGAAGAATAACCAACAGCTAATTGAACATTCTGAGCAACCACTTGAACTGATATCAAAGAAGATAAAAAAATAAATACATATAAAATTCAAATTTTTGCGTCATCTATGTTGTGAAGTAGATGATTCTGTCTCTACCGATTCTGACTCATCAACATCAGCTCAAGAAATATTTGATAATATTTATGTTAATAAGGCCAAACGCAATTTATTTTGAAATTTTGAAGACTGTACTACTAGAATTTAAGTTTAATGTTTTGTTTTGTTTATTTAAAGCCTATTTTATCATTTTAAAATTTATTATTTTGTTTTAAAATACTGGGCAATTACTGTGCTTTGATGTGGGCAATTAGTGTAAGTAATGGGCAATGACTGTACTTTTTGGAGGATTTTAAATTTATTTCAATATTTTCTAAGTTACGTAAGTTTTAACTAAAAACTGTTAATATTCTGTTTAACAGTTTATTGAGTTATAAGAAAAAAGTCATAAATGGTCGATAATTAAAACACTTTCTTTAATTTTTCATCTCAATGTGTTTGAAATCTTTAAGTGGGCAATAGCTATACGGTTTACCCTATTTCTAAAACGTTCTAATTTAAAGTTGCATGCCACAATTATTTTTACGTTCAGACTGACTTCAAACTGACGTCATTGGGTGAGGCCTATGTTCAGCAGTGGACGTCCTATGGCTGAAATGATGATGATGATGATGACTTCAAACATCAAAAAATATCAAAAAAAATTGGAAAACATACGTAACGATATTTTTCTATTCATCTCACAGCCAACACAAGATTATTTTATTTAGGTACATTTTGATCACGGGTGACCTTACCACCTAAAACTTCCTTCTATTAGTCTAGTAAAGATTCTATGCCTCGGAAGGAAAAAACCGGAACTATTTTAGAGTCACTATTAATTTATCCATCTATTTTACAGACATATAAGATTTTAAACTTTCGCGTTCCATTTCAATTAAGATTATTAATGAGCGACGTTTATTAATGAGTTACATTATGTACTTACGGCTTGACGATTCGGCTGCGATGCTGCAGTAGTGTAACAAATGACAATATTAGGGTAGTTGAAAATCTTCAAGCCCGCCCGAACGGACGACGCCGCAAACCGCCAGTCTGCTTGTGACCACGGCTGCAGCATCGCAGCCGAAACGTCAAGCCGTGAGTACATAATGTGACTCATTAATAATAAACGTCGCGTTAAGACCCGTGTCTTACTCTATCTTATTTTACAGACAGTCACATAATGTGACTCATTAATAAACGTCGCGTTAAGACCCGTATCTTACTATCTTATTTACAGTCTAATACTTACCCAAATTGACAGCATGGAACCCGCTGAACCCGGGCTGGCTGAACAGTTTGACAGCCTTCACGTGGCCCTCGGCTAAGTCCTCGACATGTATGTAGTCACGCACGCCGGTGCCGTCCGCCGTCTTGTAGTCAGCTCCGAATACTTGCAGCTCGTTTAGACGCCCTACGGCCACCTTGTGACAGATAAGAATATTATCATCATCAGATCATTCTGGCCCGTTTTCACCATCAAAGCCTTCTAATGAGGCCCATAGTAAGCGACCACGTTTCAGATCCATAATCCGAAGATATCCCGGACGTCAGTTTGTACGAGATTAGAATGGCTCTCAAACAGTTGAAGAACAACAAGGCACCGGGTGATGATGGAATCACGGCTGAGCTTTTGAAGGCAGGTGGAACGCCGATACTGAAGGCTCTTCAGAAGCTGTTCAATTCCGTCATCCTCGAAGGAAAAACGCCTACGACATGGCACAGAAGTGTGGTGATACTCTTCTTCAAAAAAGGTGACAAAACCTTGTTGAAGAATTATAGACCCATCTCACTTCTGAGCCATGTCTACAAGCTGTTTTCGAGAGTCATTACGAATCGTCTCGCTCGCAGGCTCGACGACTTCTAGCCTCCCGGAATTTTAAGTGTATGAAAACAAAATTCCTGTCAACCCCTATAGTAACACATAGGGATCACTTAAAAATTAGGGATTGATGGTGAAAACGGGCATTAGTCTCCACTGGAGAAGCATGACTGTCTCTTTTACTAAAGGCAAGATAGGAAAAGGGAAAGGAGTTTGGGAGGGTTGGTGTCAGCATATTTTTTCCTTAGTAGCCTTAAGAGGCTTCCCCAAACTGTCTAGGCAGTACTAGAAATTATAGAGGATTGTACTTCTACAGTAGAGTGTCGAGTAAGACCTGATGGGCTGATGATAAATCAATGAATTGAAGAAACAGTTCCCATTGCAGTAGCACGGTAGAAGAAACACTTGTGTATCCCATGATACATAGTCTGGAATCCAAAATTTAAATCCTTAATTTTATCCTTGAAAAAATGTAGGGCAAACTAACCTGTGATATGAAAGGCATGAGGTTGTTTGGTATACCCGCTGGATCTTCACCTATACGGCCGCTATTGTGTGCTCCCACCGGGTTGAAGTACCGGAGGGATATGATCATCCATTTCTAGAAAAAATACAAATAACCAATTAAGACAGTCAACTGTACTAAGATGGCAACATTGAATGTGGAAAAATTGCCGGCAATATTGCTCAGATTGGGAATTTTAGGAGGCAACTTGCCTTTGACCTCTATTCTATCACACATAATGATGGTAATATGACAAAATCTAAGTTGGATCACACTTTCTGACGGCCACTTAAGCAAAATTTCCGTCTACTTATTAGAACACTTGAAAAACAACAGTCTGCATCACAAAAAAAAATGCGGTCTGAGGTCAGGTCAAAGTACCTAATCACTATGCGGACAGCATTGATTTTTTTTAAGAATAAGTTAGTCCCTCGTACTAAGCTAAAAATATGCTCAGTGCATGGGCTCAACAGTACTCACCACACGGGATTCGAACACGCGTTCTCCAGATCCGGATCACGAGTTGGCCAGTCCGACCTCTTCAGCGTTCGGCTATCGTGGCTTCTTTGACTTGACCGCAGACCGCATATAGGTACTGTGACAAATCCTTTAACACACAAAAGCACTTACCGGGTCACTCCTACAAATATCCTTCATGATCTCCTCGCAGAAGTACTTGGACTTGCCGTAAGGACTGGTCAGTCCCTTGCCAGTCGGATGGCCTTCGTTCAACGGCAGGTATTCCGGCTCGCCGTACACTGTGCAAGACGAACTGTAGACTAGCTTATACACGCCGTGCTTGCGCATCACCTGGAGGAAATAAATATGAAAGTAAGTAGGTAATAATACATTTTAGATAGAAGCGGGAAAGCCAAAAAGCTGTGGAAGAAGGAATTGCATAAATAAAGTTTGGAATAAGTGCGAGGAGAGAAATGTGGAAGAACATGATGGTTGGATTTACAAAGAGCTAATGTTATCCTCTGATAAATAAAATAGTAAATCATCTCATTAGTTTTAAGCACTTTTAGTTATAGTAATTTCATTCATGTATGCGTGTTTGTCTTGTTGGTTGTCCTAATAAATAAAATAAATCTCAATACTGGCGCCTCAATGTGCAAATGTACGAACTCAACCAAAGCTCGCATTATAAGAACTAGAGGTCGCAGTGTAAAATGTCAAAGGATATTTTATTTATTCATTTCGAATAACCTCCCCAACCCGTCTGGCCNAGTGTGAGTTACGATAAAGTGCACATATGAAATTAGGTGAAACTAGATCTATTTTTATCGACAAAAAACAGGTCAAAATTTTTTTGAGATTTTTAAAAAAAATTTAAGTATTTTTTTTTTTCTTCCAATTACTTACCTATTGTAAAGAAAACGTAATAACTCTTAAACTAAGAGGCATATCCTGTAAAAACAGTAATAATGCTAAATAACAGACGATACTAAAAAAATACATAAAATACTCAGAAAATGCCAACAAATAATAAAAAATAATACTTTTTGAAAAAAATCTGCTTTTAAATTCGTGTATTTTTGGTTATTTGATAAATTTCTCCAAAAAAAGCCCCTATAACAGGTGGTTTTTATTACTTTGCATTATTCTTCATTCATTATTTTAATGTTGTGATAGGGATAGAGACATGCGATTTTTGGTTTTACAAAGGTAATACGATAGAGAATAATACAAAGCAATAAAAACCACCTGTTATAGGGGCATTTTTTGGAGAAAACCAAAAAAACACGAATTTATAAGCAGATTTTTTTCAAAAAGTATCATTTTTTATTATTTTTTGGCATTTTCTTAGTATTTTTTTAGTATCTTCTGTTATTTAGCATTATCACTGTTTTTATTTTATCAGGATATACCTCTTAGTTTAAAAGTTATTACGTTTTCTTTACAATAAGTAATTTTAAGAAAAAAAATTAATATAAAAAAATTAAATAAAAATCTCCAAAAAAATTTGACCTCTTTTTTGTCGATAAAAATAGGTCTAGTTTCACCTAATTTCATATGTACACTTTATCGTGACTCACACTGTATAATTAACGAATCTAACAGTTGTTGCCCCAGTAGACCCCACAATAGCGGCGGCGGGGTTCAAACAAGTGTTCCTTGGATCCCGAGTCGGCCAGTCTGACATCTTCACCGTTCGGTATTGTAGCTTTGTTCTATAGTTCAGGATTCTATGTGAGTATCTACTGCTTGACTGCCAAAAATCCAACCAATGAAGGCCAGGGCATCATGAAAGAAACATAAATGGTCNAATGACCCTGGAGAACATCTATTTAAACAAATCCTTTATGGCATGGTCAGACACGCCAGGATTAACTCATTCCAAAGCTCTCATAAAAGCCTATGATCAAAAAAGCTCTAAGCAGATCATAGGACTGAGTAGGACCAAGATGCGCATCTTAGTTCGAGCCCTCACTGGACACTGCAGCTTAAACAAGCACTTGTCCACTATGGGACTGTCCGAAACAAGAACGTGCAGGATGTGCCAAGAGGCAGATGAAACGCCACTACACATGCTCACGGACTGCGGACCTCTGATGCGCAAGCGGAGCTTACACCTGGGCAAACACATCCTAAGCCCACAAGATGTAAAACATATCGCCCCCCAAAAGATACTGCACTTCCTAATGGATGCAGGACTCGGAGGCGAACTGTAAGGAAAACAGCGGCGATCACAATTAGGGTTTCTGCTCGAGCTTTCTCGAACTCGAGAAAACTCGAGAAATTTGGCTTCATTCGAGACGAGAAAAAAATTACCGGAGCTCGAGAATTCTCGAGTTTCGATTTTGAAGCTTTAATATTCTTGAAAGTCTATTTTCTTAGACAAAATTAAGTTTTTATTTATTTAAAAGGATAACGTTGCTTTTAGACTGGCCTAGTCTTTCCTTTTTTAACTGATTTGATTGCAAATCTGTAATGATCTCAATCGAAACCATGTAATATGTTCACCAACGAGTATGCTATATTTATTATTTATGTTTAACTCTGACTGATTTAAAGGCTGAAAAATTTGTTAACTTTTTGTTAGGTTAGGTACGGAGGCACGAGTACAGTTCGTAAAGATTATTCAAGTCGTTATCTTTATGAAATTTAATTTAATAAAAAGTTTTTTTTTGTTTATAAAAAAAATATTTATCGTTATTTTACTATTTGGACTTGTGTTCTTTGGAAAACAAGTGATTCCATTGTATCTCCAGATTTTTATTGTTATTTATCCATAAAGTACACGCGACTTTATAACTTTTGTTACGATTATTAGTTAATATTCATTATGAAAGAAGATTTTATTTTTTGTTTCTTTCCTTACCAAAATAAGTGGTACTAAATTCTAATATTGATTGATGTGCAATAAAAGTAGCTATATTAGATTAAAAAACCTGCGTTTTTATTAAATTTCAACCGATTTCAACAGTTTTCATTAAACAACTCGAGACCCGAGAAAACTCGAGACTTTGGCCTCGAGAATTCCCGAAACTCGAGAAAAAAATTAGGTCGAGAAATCAGAAACCCTAATCACAATAGATCGATAACGGTCGCAGTGATACTAGGACTTTATTGAACTAGAATAGCCGCTCAACACAAATAAAAAAAAAAAAAAACCCGTCTGGCCAGCGTGGGGAGTACGAGTGTAGGCCTTCCACTTCCCTAAGATTACCTACATAACACTAAATGACCAGATGATAATGAATTATTGTTGTGTTCCGGCAGTTAAAGCTAAGATAGTCAGTTCCTCTGAGGTTGAGGATTCTGGGTGAAGCTCGCTCTCACCTTCGGCCTGATCATCAATTTCCATCAGATGAGAAGCAGGCCAAGAGCTTCTTCGTTGTGGATTAAAAATCTATGAATATGGAATGATTATGATGATCTTCCTTACCTCAAACAACGTGCACGTCCCAGAGATGTTGGCCTGATAGTACTCAAGGGGTTTCTGGACTGACTCTCCCACGGCTTTCAGCGCCGCGAAGTGGATCACGCATTGGATGCTGTGCTAAAATGAATGAAGATAAAATGAAGTTCGAAGGAGAAACGGAGTTTGTTCCGGCGTTTCTCCTCAGCACATGCCATATTATGTTTGTCTCGAAGCGCTGGTAGGGCTCAAAAGATAAGGAGACATGTAAAGTGCCCCATAAGGGATACCTTTTTTTCATTATTAGTTTTTGACGTGGACCACCTACAAGGTGGACCGACGACATCGTAAAGGTAGCAGGGAAGCGCTGGATGCAGGCCGCTACCAATCGATCAATGTGGAAAGCATTAGGGGAGGCCTATGTTCAGCAGTGGACGTCCTATGGCTGACATGATGATGATGATGATGAGTTTTTGACGTTGTTCCAAAATATTAGTCAAAAAGTATTTTTGATTTTGAAACGTCAAGGATTGATTGAATAAGTTAGTCCCCCAAATCAAATCAAAACATTTAGTTTGTAGGACCTTTATACACGTCCCAAATACCTTAGCTCGCCCTACCACCACTTCGGGACTACATATGGCTGGTGCTGAGAAGAAACCACCCACGAAACTCATGCGGGTTGCAGACCAAGCAGTACTGACGCAATTTTCACTAGTTGTGTTCGTTTCAGCTGAAAGACGTCGTCCACTGTTGGACAAGGAATTCCACAAAGACCGGTCCCTTCAGGCACCTCCCGCGACCTTCACCAATTGTGTGCAGATTCCAAACTATGGAATGCGAGCTAAGTCGATTAATTTAGCTTAACTCTTCAACCTGCATTAAGGTGTGAAACTATGCTGACGAATGCATTTCAGTATGTACTTAATTGGTCTTAATATGGAAACTTAACCATTCACAGGACATCGCCGAATACTTGAAACTGTGCTTGAGTTTCAATGGAATTTTGAGATTACTTGTATGTAGTTAAAACTAATTGTTTAATTGCACCCGGTTATCGGTTGTATGACACATAAGTTAGATCATAAAATATCGTTACTGATAGATTGAGCGCACGTGCGTATACGCAAAATATTTTACGTGTTCGTTGTCGCGCGTCCATTGTTTCTATTCTTAACCAAAACTTGACTTTTTTTTTGCAATTTACGAGGTATAAAATAAGGTCTATTTTGCCCAGGATTTTTTTAAAACTTGTCACATGTCAAATATTCAGTAATCTGAGCGAAAATTTCAAAAATGTTTTCTGAACCAATTTGACCAAGTTCTCGTCATTAAAAGACGAAGATAATGTAGTTACCTAGAAGATGCCCACGCGTAAATATTATTCATGTAGGTACACGTAAGTAAATATTTTTGATAGTTGTTTACTAATTTTATCAGGTAGGTATTGGTTCTTTCACCTTTCCAGTCTGCAATTGGGCCAGACGAAAATATTATTGTCAAGACACAGTGAAAAATAGAGGTGATATTTTTATATGTATTTATAGGTACCTACTTCCATATTAGACTAAGAGCTAGTGAACGCCAGACCTACGTCATTTTATAAAAGCTGAAAGTTTGTCAGCGTATGCTCCCAATATAGGATATAATGTTGGTAAATTATGGAGTTTGGGTCGTGGTGGCTTTAGGAGCTACCCTAAAAAAACTGTCTGGCAAGGAGTTGGAACTGTCAAAACTGTCTGGCTGTTGGGGAAAATACTTCTAGTAGTTGCCCAAGTATTATACATAAAAATCAGATTTTATAGTGTAACGTAAATCTAACTTTTACGGTGGCTTTTTCTGCATATTCAATAGACTGTAATTCTACCAATATGTTATACCATAACATCTGATTTTTATGTATAATATTTGGGCAATAATTAGAAGTATTTTCCCCAACAGCCAGACAGTTTTGACAGTTCCAACTCCTTGCCAGACAGTTTTTTTAGGGTAGCTCCCAAAGCCACCACGACCCAAACTCCATAATTTACCAACATTATATCCTATATTGGGAGCATACGCTGACAAACTGTCAGCTTTTATAAAATGACGTAAGTCTGGCGTTCACTAGCTCTTAGTCTATATAGGTATGACCGGATTCATGATAATGAGACTGAGGTTAAGTTAGTTACTACCCGAAGTCCGAACTCAGTCAGTACCTGAGGTATGGGAGCGGCACGGGAGGTTGTTCTTGAGACGTTAACCGTCAGCGAAACTTCAGAGCTTCAGACATTAGGGGGCGTCCATTAATTACGTAAGACAATTTTGGCGATTTTTCAACCCCCCCCGCCTCCCTTGGTGAGATTTTTCCAGACCCCCTCCCCCTCCCCACAATCTCACGTGAGTAAAATACATAAAATATTTGCAATGTAAATGGGTTATCTATGCTTCGATTAGGATTTAATATAAAAAAACCGTTTCTTCTAATTTCTTTATTGTTTAGACGGTTTAAAATAAAAAATTGAATAATTTATCATTATCATCTTGAAATATATTTNCCCCCAAACGTCTCACGTAATTAATGGACGCCCCCTTATTGGTATGCTCTTCGCGTCATAATAATGTCAATGTCACCCCTCCTGTGCAGCTTCCAAACCTTAGGCACTGATCGAAATAAGCGTGAGACCTATAGTTCAGTAGGTACCTCTAGCATGTACAACTTTCGTCTTCGAATCGTTTGCGTATTCGACAAAACTCGATACTTAACCTTCGATCGAATTAAACGATAACGTGACAATTTTGATTCTCAAAATGAGTTTCGTGCAACCATTTCTCATACTAAGTTCACTTTACGACACGTTCACAAGGGCGCAGTTGTAATTTTCGTACTAAATCGTTTGATGGCGATTCGAATACGCAAACGATTCGAACTCAAAAGTTTTTCGTGCTAGCCGTACAGCTCTTGGTTTGCGCAACCCGCATTAGAGTCAGAGTGGAAAATATCAAAAATATTCCTTACCGATTCAAAAATCCGACTCAGCCCTGACGCATCTCTTATATCGACTTCATAAAAATGTATCTTCCTCTTCGTCAACTCCTCAATAATCCTCAACGCCTCAGGTTTCTTCTGTCCTGGTTCTCTGTACGCGTTGGACAGGTTGTCCACTACAACTATGTCGAAGTTCTGGTGCTCCTGTTGTTTCTCCAGGAGTGCTGCGACGGTGTGGGAGCCGACGTAGCCCGCGCCGCCCGTGACCAGGATTGAATGGGTCATTGTGTCCCTGGGAGGAGTAAAACACGGTTAAATAAAGTAAGTCTAAGGCTACCTACGGCCGGATACTCGCGACACCCCCACTCGGGTGATGACGGAACGCCGCGGAAGTTTTAGTGGGTATACCTCGTCCTTTTCAGGACGGAGCAGCGCCCTTTTCAGGGTGCTGGGAGTCCCACACACCACCCTGTCCTCCGGCAGTGGTGACGGTGCGCAAAGCAATTCCTCCGCGACAAAAAAAAAGGTTAAATAAAGGACAAAATCTACCTGCCCACGATCAGATTGTAAAAGAAAGAGAAAAATTTGTATTCTTTGAACCTCTCCCTGGATGGTCACATTGGTCACCGATTATTTTCATTCATTCCAGAAATCTGAGTTTCAAGGTAGTTAGGTAACCGATACTATTCTATACTACGGAAAACTTCAGTAGTTTTATTACGGCACTGTTAACTCCTCTTGTTCCCACTACAGTAACTCCTATGAAGCTAGAATACACTGTTTCAACGCCAGTAAAACCTAAATCAGTGAAGTTCAAGCTTCATCACTCAGAGGAAAGTTTAACTGTCATTGGACCAGCTAAGTAATTAATTCCATAGCAAATAGACAAATTCAAAGTAAAAGTTTACGAGATCGAATGAGGAGATCCGTAAACGAACGAACTGAAGTCGCTGACATAGCCCGACGGATTAGCAAGCTGAAGTGGCAATGGGCAGGGCGCATAGTCCGCAGAACTGACGGCCGATGGGGCAGCAAGGTTCTGGAGTGGAGGCCGCGTACCGGAAAACACAGCGTGGGACGTCCACCCACAAGGTGGACCGACGACATCATAAAGGTAGCAGGAAAGCGCTGGACACAGGCCGCTACCAACCGGGCAACATGGAAAGCATTGGGAGAGGCCTATGTTCAGCAGTGGACGTCCTATGGCTGAGATGATGATGATGAAAGTAAAAGGATTGACTTCCTTCCAGTTTCAGGCGGGTGGCAGATTTGACATCTGCTATTACCTACCATTAACTTATGGTGCATACCACAGACAGTAAGAAATTATACAGAAATCACATTAGCTTATAATAGAAAAGATAATATAAGTTTAAATTATAAAGACCTACCAAGTAGTAGCAGTTATTCCAACGAAGATACGCTACTTAATGAATACCTTGTAAACAGATCAGTCACAAACGCAAGCTAAATAACATTCGTGACAATCATACGTTATTGAAATGGCTCTCATAAACATTATAAGGGTTAATATAATAATAAACAACCTGATAATAACTGCAATAGTCTGATAAGAACATCTCTAGGAATTTATCTAACAGTCAATATTAAAAATACAGGGCGTATAGGTGTTCTTCTTTCGTAATGACAAAATTTTGCAAAACCAATCGCAATAGTACAAAGGATGCTTTCCCTAGCTTGATGGACTAACGAGCTCAAAAAGATAGCAAGCAGTAAGTATCTAGATGCAAAAGAAGATCATGAAAAAGTTGAGAAAGCTGAAATTCGACATTGGAATGCCATAGGCAGACATGACAATAATGGCGATGATGACAAATTCATACCCCATGACTTTAAATTAAACTCCGTGCAGGAAGTTCAAAGGGACGTTGATAATCCCTATGGAATTTTAGAAAATGAGCCAAAAACTATAACGTAATGATAACGAGATATCCATACGTACAGATAACATAGAGAAATTCATAGCTACACTGATTGCATACTAGTTTAAGTGTCGTATCGTATCTTGACACATACCTAAGTACTTAAACTAATTAGATAAAGAAATTAATCAAAGGATTAACATTTGAAGATTGGTTATTAATCCATTAAAATGACGATTCCTTACAGAATATTTGCTTACGATGATAAAACTTGTCATTGAGTGTGTAATTGCTAAGTATTGTGTAAATGCATAGTACCTACCTAAGGTGGTATTTCTAGAGAAGTCACGCACGATAATCGCACTTTTGTTCAACAAAACGTTAGTAATAAGGATGAAATTAGCATGACAGGAACGGAGAACTCTACATACAATGCAGTATAAAACATAGTAAATAACTATTTCACGTTTGCAATAAACTGTGCATAATAATGTTTTTACGGTTGTATGGTATGTAATTTTGAAGTTTCTGTAGATATTCACACTCGTAGGAAAATTATGATCTTACAAAGACAGATGCTATTATAAACCACATAAGACAGCCAAAATGAAATCTGAGATACAATACCAAATTAGAACAAGTTTCAACAGTATAAGTACTTAGCTCTTATAGTTTCGGAAAAAAGTGGCTGTCTGTGACATACGGACGGACAGACAGACCGACGGACATGACGAATCTATAAAGGTTACGTTTTTTTGCCATTTGGCTACGGAACCCTAAAAATTAGCTTTGCCGCTGGTTCCATTTTGCCTGATTTAAGTATGCATCTCAATCATAGAAATGAAAGACAGCGACAGACAGATCCGAAGGGGAGTCCCAGAGGGAAGATAAACAGCTTGATTAATCTAGGCTCATATCTTACAGTGTGGATCCGGAAGAAGAGATTTCAGCCGAAAGACGTCCACCGCTGGATAAAGGCCTCTCCCAAGGATTTCCACAAAGACAGGTGCGCCGCTCGCATGCAGGCGGAAAAGACGGCTAGAAACAAATGTGGAAACACCAAGCCTCCTGTACCTACCCGTCTGACCTACATGGGAAGGGTTAATCATATCCTCGATTGGTCTCTAGTAAATTAGAAGGATCTGCTCCTGCAGTAGGGACTAAAATCCCATGACTTGTGAACTTGTCTTAGGAAAATATCTGTAAGTATATGCTCTGAGGATTGCGCGCCACTTAAAAATGTCTTCAAGGAATTTACCACTTGATTTTAGTGTCAAACGCTTATCTTTCTTTAATTAGGTGTGTAAAATATTTTAGACTAAAAATTCTGTAAAGGCTACATGAATTTTTCCTTGTTTTAATAAAAATAATTGTAGTTTTAAACAACGTTAGGAACTCGCATAATTAGCCGTAAATTGATACATATCCTACTTGTGCGATTGTGTTAGAGATAATGTCGACTATTTAGCTAGCTATCATAAATAACGGATTACTCAATATTGTTAAGAATTTAAAATACCGCGTAACTTTATTATCCCAAACCGATAAGGAAAAATAATGGATAAAGTTATATTATTTTAAATCCATTTACAGCTAAGAAGTACGTACATAGGTGTAGGTAATTTAATACATACAAAACTTTACAGTAGACCTTAAAATCAAACTGTTCCTATAATGGAACTGTTAGTAAAATTGCGTCGCTTCCCGTTTAATTCGATAAAACATCCACATCATCAATTGAAACTTATTAAAATCGTCCATACATACACTTCCGATTCTCTATTTCTACTAAATTCAACAATGGCCGCAAATCACAAAGTTCAATTTTCAAAAAATAGAACACAAAATTCCGGCCAGTTCAAACTCACAGAAGAAAAAAAATACTAACTTTTTTTTACCGCGGCAAGTATAGCGTAGGCGTGGACTTCGCACAACGTCAGAGAGGTCACTGAGGAGTTTTATCGTATCGTTCACTTGACTTCTATTACACACAGATTAGCTTATCAGTGCTTGTATCAGAGTTGTTGAGCGTTGTAGCCTTTTCATGTACGTTATGATAACGTACATTGAGAAATAGAATGATTGATGATTTAATGGTTTATTCAGTTTCATTACTGTAGCACGTAGACTGTTTAGTTAACGGTTAAAGAAGTTAACAATTTAATTATTTATGTTTATTGATAAATAATACTGGTCCCAGTACTGGCCCCTGGGATATACCAAATTTTTTTATTACATTAATTTGTTTTTTTTTTTTCATATTATGATATTTTTAAACAATATTGATGAGAAAAGAAGTTACTTATTTTGTAACATTCAACAAAGTTAATCTAATTTTCAGGCACACATTTATTTTCAGAGCCATTAATTTAAATTATTTGGTAGTAATTAAGTGTTTCATTAATTAAATTAGTTCTCTTTTTATTATCTTTTAGGTATTCCACTAACTTTAACTTATTTTGAATTTTTACAGTTTACGGTGAACCTAGTGTTTGAAAAAATGTTTTAGAAGTATAAAAATATTATCACCACCTTGACCTCTCTGCCTGATTCTTGGTAGACTGGTGGAGAGTGCTCTTTGGCATTAAATTCAGTTCTATTTCTTATTATTATTATTGCAATTACCCAGATTAAAATTAAAAATTTTAAGTTTTTTATAATTTGGTTTATTTACAATATACACAATACAGGGTGTTAGGTAAATGTGTATCAAGCTGACACTAGCCTATGTTAATATAATTATGCATATGTCCTGGAAATGTGTTTCATTTAGGTATTTTATACAATACCTAGGTAATGTATAGAATGCCTGGGGTGTCCAGGCAATGTATGAAATCTCATGAATATCATGATCTATTTGTATACCTAACAATGAAGGAGATTTTTGAGTTTAGTGTGTAATGTTTAGTATCAGAACAACAAAGTTTGCATATTTTTAAATAATGCTGACAATGATTCTAGATTGGACATAATATAGTGTAAAAATCAAATCTACTAAAATGAAATTCCAGTACTATTATACTAGTACTACAGGCACTAGATATTAGGCACTTATCCTTGATTTTTTTTTCTTGGCTCTTGATTATGTTTAAAATTTGGGACAGGTCTTAGGCTGAGTTGCACCACCTAACTTCAGTCATAACTTTAACGATAACCTGTGTATTTTTATGGAGTTTGACAGATTTTTTACGTTTGTTAATGTTAAAGTAAGATGGTGCAACCCAGTCTTAGTAAGTGAAAATGTTTGAACATGTATTGTCCTCTTCAAAATAAATTAGTTTTTGATAAAATTATAAAAAAACATGTGTAGCAGATAATGTAAGGAGGGTGTTACAGTGCACTAGATGTCTTTTAATAGAATTAAATATAAGAGCGCACACATAAGGTAAAATTAAAACGAGGAAATACATGATCAAACTGGTTACTGTTGAAAGTACATACCTTTCTGTGGTTGAAAATAATGTATTCAGAAAATGATAAGTACTTACCCGTTCTCAATTGGTTTCATTGTTTAATTTAAAACGATGACGTACACCAGTCACGTACTAATTCTAGCAGAATAGTAAATTTCGTTCAAGGTTTGTTTACACAGCAAGAAAATGCTTTTCTATAAATTCTATACTATTTTATTGATCACTTCAAAAGAAAACCTATAGCTTATCAACTGTTTGATGAAATATTATTCATATCACATTCTGAAAAGAGATATTTATTACAATAAATTGGTCAAAATTGAAATTTTAAAATTATTTGCGGCTGCAAAAAATTATACACAAACGTTTTAAAACCAGATCACAATCTAAATAATTTGAAATAATAAAAATGGTTCTTCGTTTTTTTTAATTTTTTGTTAGGTCCTGCAATATGATTTCGTATGTATTAAGAATGTATTTTAAAATAATATGATTAAAATCATCTTAATAATTATATATTTTTTAAAGAAAACAACTAAAATAAAAAAACTTTGATGAATCAAGTATAATTATATTTGAACGTACCTAAAAGTGACATTAATTTGACGTGTTTTTAAATATGGCAATACCTCTAATCCATATTTGTGGGCAATACCAAGTTGTAGTTGGTTGATTCCGGTCTATTCAAAGAAAAAATCGCAAAGAAACACTAAAAATAAATGTTTTCTCAATTTTTTATGCAATTTTACATGACCACGAAATACTTTCATTTCTATGTTAAGATAGTATTTTTTCTTGATTTCCGAACGACTATAAATTGCCATATCAAAAAATCCTCCCTGTAAACGGTAATTTTATTAACTCGATGTCTTTACACTCATATTGAATGATTAATTCCAGAGTCATTGATTTTCTTGGGCCACCTTTCATTTAATTAAAGTCTCTATGATAATATCTATCTATCTTCTCTAAAATTAGGAAAATGATATTGCCTTATGTTTTGGTTAATTATATTAGTATGCTTGTAATTATGTTAGATGATTTTGCTATTTATTTAACATTTTTTTTCAATACCAAATTGTATTATGTATTTAAAAATCCGAAGAACACTTAACGACGAGTCGACGACACATTTTCATAATTTTTGAGCGCTTACAAGTTACAAAAGTGTCAAACTAATTACCCCTCAGCAGGGTGGTATTTTTTTTCAACGCTGTGCACACTGATAATCTGTCTCTTTCTCTCCCGTTCTAAGTATTCAAGGTAGCCGTCACTGAAGATTTTTCAATAATTTTTACATTTTACGTGGTTTTATCAAATAAATATTGCAGTTTCTGTGCTCCCTATTTGTCTCCAAATACATTTATGTTCATAATTTGTGAATAACGGTAATGATTTCCAGGATATTTTCTGGTGACAAACTTGGTTGGATCTCCTCCAACGTTGTTTTGGTTACCGAAAGTGATCGTTTGTTGAAAAATACCATGAGTTCTCTCAAATTTCCATTGCCCAACTAAATAGTGTGAAAGGACACGTCCGTCCAAGTGTAGTTTTTGTGGAGTTTATTGAAAAAGTGAAGGAGGGACATAACCTCTAAAAGTTTGATCGTGGAGTGTGATTTTCCTGTGTTCCATTCCAGATGAGTACGAAGATCATAAAAGCTGGCGCCGCTGAGGCGGATTCCTTCGAGACCTCGATCTCGCAGGCCCTGGTGGAGTTGGAGACCAACTCCGACCTGAAGGCTCAGCTTAGGGAGTTGTACATTACTAAGGCCAAGGAAATTGAACTACACAACAAGAAGGTTAGTACTTTTAATATCACTAGAATATATTTATATACCTTAGCGTCATTTCTTTCTCTTTCCAAATAAGTAACATATCAATGCATGGTATTTTTTCCTCCTAAAAACAACACCTGAAAATGAAGTTCTAACAAAGCTGTAACAGTGCCTATGGGAGCATTATTACTTTCTAAATCAGCTGTGTATTTATCAACTTATCTTTGATTGAGGGTACAATAATATTTACTAAATATCATGTCCAAAAATGCATTCCCTACTTGCATAGGATTAAGATTTTTGTAAATATTGAAGTTATTTGATATTATTTTTCAATGGATCATAGATGTGGTCCAGTGTCGCTAGCCCAACTCTCTTGTTGGTTAACCTATTTCTTTGTTATCATTAAAATAATTATTGTCTCCAAACAAACAATGGTCATTCCTAACAAATAGTGGTTGCTCTAATAACTCCACTCTGACAATGTACCTTATGAATTAGTAATGTATTTTTTTTACAATCAAGGCAAAAGATTTGAATGTGAAACAATAACGCACCATAGATCTTGGAGTGAAAGCTACACTTATCATAGAGTAGACTTTCAAATTACCGGGCAAATAATTTAGGCTTTATTGAAAGATGTTATTGTAAGCAATAATTTTTCCGGCCCAATGCGCAGTAGGCCTAACAGGAATTTGGGGGACTAGGTTGATGAGGATGTGGGGAGACTGCAATAATGTGAAGATTCATAAATTATATTCTACGTGCCCATACCATGAAGAAATAAATGGAGATTAATATTAGCTTTTTTTCCTTTTAAGTAACAGTAACATAGCAAAATAATTAGTGTAGTAAAAGTACCATAGGCAAGTTCCTCTTTTTGAATAACTATTTGTTGAAACGATATAAAGATTCATAATTTATTTTCCAGTCAATCATCATCTACGTGCCCATGCCCAAACTGAAGGCCTTCCAAAAGATCCAGATCCGGCTGGTCCGTGAGCTGGAGAAGAAGTTCAGCGGCAAGCACGTAGTGTTCATTGGTGACCGCAAGATCCTGCCCAAGCCGAGCCACAAGACGCGCGTTGCTAACAAACAGAAGAGGCCCCGATCCAGGTACATATTATTTGGGTTTTTGTTTATGAAGACATCCCATTTTGCTGAAAAAACTGTATTACTTTAGGTAGGAATTGGTGTAATATTTTTGTACATAAAAAGCCTGTGAGATACAGGCCAAGAGCTTCATCGTTGTGGATTAAAAAGTCCATGTTTTAGTGCAGTAACTTTATAGACTGATTATATCCCAGATCTGGCCAAAAAGAAGTCTGGTCCCAAATTGTCTGCTTCTGATTGATTGTCTCACATTTTGCTGCGGAAAAGATATGCATCCATTTGTATAATTCCTCAATCATTTCTTTGCCAATTCACGGCCATACCTTATTTTGAAGCATCAACCCTTGGCACATGATTTTCATACATTTTGGATGCTGCTTGCTTGTTTGAAATGAAATCTATAATAAATAAGCTTACTTAGGCTGAGTTGCACCACCTAACTTTAACTGTAAACTATAACAATATCTAGTGCTTTTTGTATGGAGTTTGACTAATTTGTTAAAGTGGCATGGTGAAACCCAGCCTTAGTAGTCGAAAAGCTTTATGAGAGTGCATAACCTAATTTAATTTCAATTGTTTCACATATTGTCTCTTAGCTTTAAATGTTTTAATAAAGGCCTTCTTCAAAGCTTGCCTGTTGCCCCTACTTCACCTATCCCACCTGGCAATCCCACCAGGGCGGGAAGTTGTCTCCCTGCTGTATGTTGTTCTTTTGTGAAAATAAATTGAAAACTACTTGAATTTACAGAAACTTGAGAGCATTTATAACTTTTTGTCTCAGTATATTTAATTTGTCCTTCTTTCTTCTTTCTAAATATGTTGTTTTTTTTCCAGGACACTGACGTCAGTGTA